CTATGGTATCTCTCTATTTGGCCGATTTCTACTCTTTCCAGCCGCCTCCCGAAGCCTGGTAGAGGCTAGACGAACTGATGAAATCTCAACCCTTCTTTCCCGTCACTTGTACTGTAGCCTCGACCCGTCCAGTCAAGGTTTGCGCCTGGCAAACATTTCGCTTGACGCTGAAAACTAAAGAATTCATTAATCATAATTAATAACAGTTGATTACCCTGGCGTGGCCTAATGTCCTAATCGGCGGAGCGACCGACCAATCAGAGCGCTCGTTTCTGACAGGTCCTCGGGTCGATGACGATGATCGATGGCGTGACGTCATGACCCCGTGACCGGGGCGCCTCCCGACCAATCAGAAAGGTCGTACTGGTGATCACGTGGTCGGCTTGCGGTGATTAGTGACACTTTGAATGGGGGAACGGAGCGTAATTCGAGGAAGATGGATGAGTTTTTGGAGCGCACACCCCCCAATTTTGTCCCAAGCATGCTGGAAACGGACCGCCGAAGCAAAAACAAGCCGTGAAGCCCGTCGGAGAGGACGGGGAACTGAGAGAGAGAGCTGGCGGTTGAGAGAAGGACTAAAAATGCAGCGGCATAGCACCGCGTTTAGTATTGAAGCGCTTATAGCGAAGCCACGGCACGCACCGCAAGCCGTGTACGGCGGGTACAGTATGTTTGTGCCGCAGCCGTTACTGGTACAGACCGTAGCAGGGCCGACACCGACCGTACCAGCGGGCCTACCGCCCGGCGCGGCCGCCAGTACCGGCCCGGGACAGGCCACGACTAACCCCGACGCCGCCACGACGACAACAGACCATCACAACCTCGGCCCGGAGGCACACGACAACCTCCCGACATGGTCTCCCGATCCAGGTACGACATCTTTCTCTTTTTCTCTAACCTCTACCAGGCACCGCGGATCGCTGAAAAAATAGTAGAAATTGGCTGAAATAAAAGGGAGGTCTGTCCGTGGGTCGAAAATAATTTGGATCTTCTATGGCCCGGGATCTTCTCTGGTATACTATCCCTCTATTTCGACCAATTTCTACTATTTTTCCAGAGATCCGCTGCGCCTGGTAGAGGCTAGCTTTCTCCTGTATTTACTAAAACCCGTTCATTTCCTGATGACTTTACCCTGATAAAAAAAATCCTGCCCGAACCGTTCTGTCAATACCGTCTGTTTGCGCTGTGTGTGGAAGCCAAACTTTGCCGAGGCTGCTAAACACCACAGAGCCGATCGGAGTCAGATTAAAACTTGTCCTAAGCGAGAACAGAGATAGTTTTCTCCAACTTGAGAAGAAGAACTTGAGACCAGGGAAGACTGGTGACGTCTAGTCCAGACGTCTGAATGGTTGTTGGCAGACTTATAGAACTGGGGGTTTGATGGTCTTCGGCTGTTTTCTGATGAGCCCAGTTCTAAAAAACAGGGGTAATTCAACCAGGCCGGCTATGTTGTCTATATGCAATCAGAAAATAGCACATAAAAGCTCCCAAAGACCCGCAGTTTCTGGCGTGCTATGAAGGCTGTAGGGTTGTTGGTTTCTCGTCTCGTGTCGCGACCCCAAAATGGCCGCAGTGTTTCCCGTTTCACTACGGGTTATGCCGAGTCAAGGGCTGGTGCCGACAACTTTCCTTCTAGATAGTAGACAGCAGATCCGTGCAGCCAGTTTAGACCGCTCTTTCCTTCTACTGGACAGACATTTCAGGCTTCTGTGGATGGTCTAGAGCCCTGTAGTTGTACATCAGTTTCTTCTGTTCCATGTGTTTGTCGAGACTTTCCTTGAACGAAATTATTGACACTGGGTGATGTACCTACAGAGTACAGACTCTGAGATCAGGGAGGTTGTTCCACTAGGCTACCACTCTGTTGACGAAGAAGTAAGCTCTCCTGTTGCCCTTTGAAAACTTTCCTCCTAGATAGTTGATAGTAGATCCGTTCAGACAGGTAGGAAGGTTTCTTGCCGTTGAGACTGCTCGTCGTTTTACCGGATCGTCCTTCTTGGCTGTGCGGACAGTCCACGGCCGTATGGTCGTAGCCTCCATAGCATGAAATAAACTGAGGTCTTCAGGGTCTTTTGGAGCTTTTATGTGCTATTTTCTGATTGCATATAGACAACATAGATGGCTTGGTTGAATGCTTGGGATCGTCATTCCCTGTATCCTCCATAGCACGCCAAAAACTGGGGCTTTTGGGGGTCTTCATGGTCTTTGGGAGCTTTTATGTACTATTTTCTGATTGCATATAGACAACCATACTAACCGTCTCTCTCTCTTTTCTCTCTCTCAAAAACTCGGTACAGACCCAGGAAGCCACGTTTTTTGTTGTTGTTGGAATAGGTTCTGTGTATCAAACAGACCATGCATGTACTTGTACGTAGGTCTCCGTTCTAACCGTCTCTCTCTTTCTCTCTCAAAAACTCCGTACAGGGGCAGGCAGCCACGACGGAGGACCTGTGGATGCAACAGTCGGAGAGGACGCTGACTCCAACCCCGACAGCGACTTGGAGCTAGACGGTGCCGACAAGTCCCCGAGCCCGACCCACGGGCTGGGCAGCCCTGCTAACCCGGGGGGTGGGGGCAAGACGCGGCGTAGGAGAACCGCCTTCACTTCGGAACAACTGCTCGAACTTGAAAAGGAGTTTCACAGCAAGAAGTACCTCAGTCTTACGGAGCGCTCGCAGATCGCTCACGCGCTAAAACTCAGCGAAGTCCAGGTCAAAATCTGGTTCCAGAATCGTAGAGCGAAGTGGAAAAGAGTGAAGGCTGGAAACACCAACACCAGAGGACCTAATCCGAACCCTAAAATTGTGGTGCCCATCCCTGTGCACGTGAACCGGTTCGCCATGCGAAGTCAGCACCAGCAGATTGGGAAAACTCATCCAGCATTGTGACGAGACACACACACAAGGTAGACTCTGGAAAAGGGGTACTAGTTTTACAAGCAATATTATTATTGTAGATATCACGGAAGTAAGTTCATCTGTGTTGGTAGTAAATAAATTATCATAGTAAAATGCTGAACTTTATATTTCAAACACAAGTACAGGCAGATTAAATTTTCAACGACCACTGTCGAATTTATGTTCGGAATTTATCTTGAAAGTTCGTCTGTGTTGGTAGAAATCATTATGAAGCAAGTTTAAACTGTAATGTCCAACACAACAAAATGGATCCACCCACATTTTCGACTGTACAATCAAAGAGAACGACTGGAGTTGTACAGTCGAAAATTTGGGTTAGTCCAATTTGTTGTGTTGGAAATCACAGTTTAAACTTGCTTCATTGTGTTCTGAAGTGATTGGTTTATGAAAATTTGATCTTTCTGTACTTGTTTTGTTTTGTTGGAGTAAAGTTCAACACTTCACTGATATTTACAGAAAACAAATACCGGAAACCAGGGTAAATGTGGCTCGGCACTTCACTTTGTTTACTTTTTTTTTACTTCCGGAAACATTTTATTTTTCTGGCGTGCAAAATGCTTCAAACTACTGCTTTGTTTTGTACATTGTCAAATTGTGACATGTAGAGTGTGAGGGGTTACTAGTATTTTTGTGGACAGAGAATGAAAATGGAAAAGTAGTATGATGTAAACATAATTTCTTTCTTCAGACGAACCGCGTTTAGACATCAAGGAATTTGCAATAGATTCTAATTCTATCTGGGAATGCCGTGTCAGCTTCTTCGCGTTAAATCGTTAGTTTGCGTTTCAAACTATTTGTAAGAAATTATGAAATGACACCAAATTTCTGTGGCTGAACGGAAACGTGTGTTCCTGTGGTCTGACTGTCGCTAGATAGCCTCCGTAGCAGGCTTATAGAACTGGGGGTTTGGTGGTCTTCGGCTGTTTTCTGATTAGCCCAGTTCTAAAAACGGGGGTAATTCAACCAGGCCGGCTATGTTGTCTATATGCAATCAGAAAATAGCACATAGAAGCTCCCAAAGACCATGAAGACCCCCAAATTCCCAGTTTTTGGCATGTTGTGGAGGCTAGTGCCCAGTCGGCTGTTGTGTTATCGGGTCTGTGTGACACAAAAGAGCCGGGATAAGAATAGCCGGAGAAAATCGTCGCTTGGGTGTCAAACACTCATGAATAATATCAGTACCTTCTCATGGTGAGAGGTGAAAATTGCCCTGTTTTTTGTGCGGGTTTCCAGACAAAAGACAGAAATTCATCGCCTTTGTTCTTGTGCTAAAAACTAGCCGCCAAACAAGACTTGATCACGCTTTGATATGAGCGAAACAGGCACAGACCGACATATGGCTTCAGACCGATCCACAGATACATGCAACCCAAACGTACACACATACAAACACTATCCTCTTGACTTCTTTCCTATATTTTTGCAGCGTATTTACAGTAAATTTGCCCGTGTTTCGCTGCCCTTCTGTGGCAATGAAGTCGCCAGGCCAGGCAGTCAAAAAATCTCAGTTTACCGACACCTATATGCCTTCAGATTAACCAGATATATGCCACCTAAAAGTACCGATATACGCACACTCTCTTGACTCCAATACTATTCTTTGTTGCATTTAAAACAGCAAATTTTGCCGTGTTTTTTGGACACTTGCGGCAGTGAAATCGCCAGGCCAAATCTCAGTTTACCGACACCAGACTTCTGACGTATTTAGCAGAATTTCCTGTCGGGATATCACAGGAACTATCCTGTCAGAAACCCCGGTCAAACCCGGGCCGCATTCTCCTGGTTTCCCCTCGCGTTGGTAGAACATAATTTGGAGCCTCCTTGGTAGCCTCCGTAGCAGGCTTATAGAACTGGGGGTTTGGTTTGGTGGTCTTCGGCTGTTTTCTGATTAGCCCAGTTAAAAAAAACGGGGGTAATTCAACCAAGCCGGCTATGTTGTCTATATGCAATCAGAAAATAGCACATAAAAGACCCTGAAGACCCCCAAACCTCCAGTTTTGGCGTGCTATGGAGGCTACCTCCTTGGTAGAAGTTTTGAAGCGGGTTTTAGAACACTTTGGTCGCCAGCAAACTATGAAAAATTCGTTCACACCACGGGCGAAGTTAGATAGAAAAATTACCACATTGTTTATTTGAACGCAGAAACGAACAATTATAATATACATACAGCTGCGATGTAAAATATTTCTATGGTATATTACCACAGACAATGTTGTATACATGTCATCATCAGAGTTATTGTTATAAATGACTAATAATTCCCTTGATTTATTTGGCAGTATTGTATCGCCTGGTTCGCTTCCATTAAATTATTATATTTGAAGACAGACGTGAGTGTTTAGTCGTGACAGGTTGTGTGTTGTTGGGTGTACAGTGATAGATCGAGTCGTATTGTCGGGTCGGGGTCTGCTTTCTTCCAGACAAATGTCTTACGTGTTTCCAAGACATTCCCTACGTCTTCGTCTTGCCTTGATGTATGTCTTAAAGTTGTCCTTATTTCTCAAGTGTCTCGGGTAAGATTTCATATCCAAGAGTTCGCGACCAAGTACTTTCTCACCGCTGTCTCTCGTTTAGTAGCGCTGGTTTAAACTCCAGGTCTGGTTACTACTAGAATAATTTGCGAGGTTGCCAATAATTTTCAGCTGTCCCACATTTAAACATGATTTATGTTATCGTGACAACTAACATACAATATGCCTCTTTATTATGTTGTCATGTGTTTAACAATCAGTTGCCCCAACATGTGTTTTATAGCCTCCGTAGCAGGCTTATAGAACTGGGGGTTTGGTGGTCTTCCACCAGGCCGGCTATGTTGCAATCAGAAAATAGCACATAAAAGACACTGAAGACCCCCAGTTTTTGGTATGCTATGGAAGTCATATTTTCAGGGGTCTCTCCAGAAATTCTTAGAGGAGAAGTGCTCCCCAATAGGTTTTTGAAAAAAGAAATACAACGAGAAAAACTAAATTTGCACGTTTTGGGAGAGGTGCTAGGATTTTGAGTAGAGGTGTAGCACCCTTGCTTCATCATAATTTGCCTGGGACGAGCCCTCTTTTTTTTCGACCATGGGACATAATTTATTCTGAGAAAACTGTTGATAACTTTGATTGACAGATTTCAGTTGGTTGTATGAAAAATTCATACAAACCAGACCTGACATCTGTGCGAGTTGCAAATTATGTGTGCTTCGAATAAATAAAAGCTACAAAGAAACAAACAAACGATAGAAATCTGGTGGCCCAAATTATACAGCTGGGTCTATTGTGTGACACTGATACCGTCTATTTCTAAAGCTCTAGGGTTAGGCTTTGTTGAATTATAAGTCGCACGTTTCTGACTATATATCTGGTAGATTGTACCCCGTTTTTGGACTATTATATACTAACCTCTACCAGACTAACTACGCTGGCTATATATATATAATATAGGAGAATATTTGCCAGGGGAGCTTGGCCGCCTTGTAGGTTTGACTGGCCGCGGAGGGAAAGAAACTACTAGTACCTCCCCGCGGCCGGACTCCCCTGGCCAATTTTACTCTCTTTTTTTGCCGAATTCTACGATCCGTATTCCCGTAGAAAGGCCTGGTGGAGGCTAATTATACACCCAGAATACAGCATTCAACAGCTAACAAAAACTCCGCCTGATGCCGAGGCTATCACTGACTGATATCACTACAGACGTGCCCTAATAATTCCCCAAACTCTCTCCCAACTTTTAATTCAATGTTTGACCTGGAAGTCGGCTGAACCTAGCCCCTAATTTGTCCCCTCAGAATCGCGAATGTAAACCTACAGCAAGCCGCAGATTAGAAGAACTAATTTGTCTATCAGGAGTTTTCAAATCAAACACTCTCTGTCGGCGCCAACTTCTGTCCTTAAAAATAGGTGTCTTGGTCTAATGCTATGCCTAAAATACGGTCTCAGAAACACGTATGTATTTATTTATTTCTGTGCAGTTTTCTATGTGCCCCTGGAAAAGTTACTAGACCCTTTTTGTAAAACGATGGAGGACAACAAAGTTGCATCAGGAAGCTTGACTTCAGTACTAAAAGAGTCTCAGAAACATGTGGTGGCTACTAAAACTGTTCGTACATGTTTAGCTTTGTAATACTAAATGTAGGGATCTGGAGTTTTGGTCTAGCATTCAAGTAGCAAAATTAAGAACTCCATAGTTCCTAACTGAAGAGTTCACGGTACAGAAGTGACAGTAAAAACAGTGAACATAAGAGTGCAGTGAAAAAATCAGGAATTACAGTACTCTATTCTAGTCTCCCCTATCATGCTACCCTTTTGTATGAATGAATAGGCTGTTTATTCCAGTCAATCGTCTATGTTATTTTGATGTCACTTTTGGGACTCGGTTGGAGCCAGACGAATTACAGATTCCTACATCCAACAAGTCAGAAATCTCTACGAGTTAGAGGAACAGTTGTGTCATACAGACGTTTAGACTATGATTTGATCAAGGACATTATATCTTCTATATACATAAGTATTGCCCTTCTTTTAATCTATGATCTACAGTTGGTATGTTATCCTGTAGGCTTCAAAATTAAGTTTCTGTTTCTGTTTAGAACAATTCTCTGAGGCACAGTTGAAAGAACAGATTTACTGAAGTAAGGCCTTTGACTTTACAAAAACTACAAACAGGCTACTGAAATGTCGGAGTTGACAAAGAAATCCAGTATCCCTGTCACTGTTTTGGTTCGTTGGCAATGAGAAAAATATGTCTAGTGCTGTTTTTTCTGTGTCTAGAATGGTTGTTATGCCAGGGACGGATTGGCTTGAGTTTTACTTTTGTTGATACAGGATTATTCTGTTCACTTCTGTATCATTGCGTAGGTTTTGTTTGGAATATGAAGTGTTTGTTGTCTCTTGTCAGTTTGTTTTCCTTCTAAGCCTGTTTAGTGTTTACTAAACATATGGAAGTTGTGCATTTCCAGGGCCTCCCTCTAAAACAGTGAGTGTGCCACCCACCCTATTCAAGCAACATAGAAATAAATAAATACACCATTACATGTTTCTGAGACTGTTTTTGTCATTGAACTCAAGCTCATCCATGCAAGTTTGTTGTAAACAAAAGTACTAGTAACTTTTCCAGGGCCTCACTCACTGTAAGCAGTGCACTATCACTGAACCAGCTATCCACACTAAACAATACAGAAATA